TGGATTGTGCAGGCCCGGCCTCCAGGCCCCACCTCCCAGGCCTGCAGATTGGTTGGCCGCTGGCCCTGGACGCCCCGCCTCCGAGGGACCCGCGCGCTATAAAAGGAGCCGCCCAGCCCCGGGCCTGTGTAGTGCGCCAGGAGGTCCCGGGGATCTGTCTCTTGCTTCAACAGTGTTTGGACGGAACAGATCCAGGGACTCTTCTTCCCAGCTTCCGACCACCTTCTAGTCTCTACTCTAGTCGTCATTTCTGAGACCATCTTCTAGGCCATCTCCTGCCTTTTAGGACCAGCCGACACCGTTTTGTGGTTAGCTTCTCATTAGGACCAACCATGAGCTCCCAAATTCGTCAGAACTATTCTACCGAGGTGGAGGCCGCCGTGAACCGCATGGTCAATCTACATCTGCGGGCCTCTTACACCTACCTCTCGCTGGTGAGTGCCCCCGGGACACCCCGACCCAAGTTTTCCCCAACTGCGCACCTCGGGCCCACTGCGCACGCGCCGGCCTTTGTCCTGTGGAGTAGCCCGAGGGCGGAGTCCTCATGCCTGGCCTAGTCTCCCGCTAACCCTGTTTCCTTCCATGTTTTCCCGCAGGGCTTCTATTTCGACCGTGACGATGTGGCTCTGGAGGGCGTGGGCCACTTCTTCCGCGAGTTGGCCGAGGAGAAGCGCGAGGGCGCGGAGCGTCTCTTAAAGATGCAAAACCAGCGCGGCGGCCGCGCTCTTTTCCAAGACGTGCAGGTAATTTGGGGAACGGACTACGCCACCCAGCAGGCTTTGCGCGCCAGTCTCTTCTGCCTAGGGGGCTTAGGTGACGCAAGGGCTTCTGGGAGTTTGAGTTCGTGTAGTGTGGGTTGTTTATTGCGGCTGGAAATGGAGGCGTGTGTATTCGCCCGTATTCCCACCCCAGAACGTGGCTGGCTAGACCGCTGCGTGCCCCCCTGGGCCTCGCAGTCTAGAAGCCTAGGGTGGTCCACACTAGCTTTCCCTCCCGTGTGTGTCTCGACATCTGGGAAATGTAGATTTAGTCCGTGGCAGGTTCTGGTAAGTTCTGAGCTATGTGTGCTTTTCGTATAGAAGCCATCTCAGGATGAGTGGGGTAAAACCCTGGATGCCATGGAAGCTGCCCTGGCCCTGGAGAAGACTCTGAACCAGGCCCTTTTGGATCTTCATGCTCTGGGTTCTACCCACACCGACCCCCATGTAAGCACCACATTAACCCCAGTTACCTATCCTTATGTTCTCAACCTTGACTCCATTCAGTTCTACACATTTCTTTGTGAACCTCAGACTCAAATCTGTGAGTTAGGGGAACCAGCAGTTGGCGTAATGGCTATGTCCCTGGACTCCCACGTAGTCGTCTGCGGTTCGTGTCCCGGACCCGGTGGCTTAAAACTCACGCCGGGCGCGTGTGCGTGCGTGCCCAAGATCCCGAGAGGAGAATGGAGGAGAAGGGATTGCGGGGTGACCATCCCCCCTGGGGGGTGATTTCTCGCTTTCTGTCTCTATGTCTCTCTCTCTCTGTCTGGCGAGCGCACGCGCCCTACAGTGAAAATCTCTCCAAAAAAAAAAAAAAATCTGTGAGTTAGCTGCAGGAGATCACGCCAACTGCAAGGATTGGATTTCTAACTTCTCCTTTTCTCTCTAAGCTCTGTGACTTCCTGGAGACCCACTTCCTAGATGAGGAGGTGAAAGTCATCAAGAAGATGGGCGACCACCTGACTAACCTCCGTAGGCTGGGGGGCCCCCAGGCTGGGTTGGGCGAGTATCTCTTCGAAAGGCTCACCCTGAAGCACAAGTAGGGGCCTCCAGAACCCAGCAGCCTGGAGTCCCTGCATCTCCTGGAATCAGCTTCCAAGCCTCTCCCTCCCGCCACCCACTTGGCAGCTTTCTAACCACCCCGGAACCCTCTCTAATGCCTTGGACCAAATGGAAATAAAGCTTTTGGCAGCAGCTGCTGGTTGTGTGTGTGAAATAAAGGGGTGTTTCAGGGCTGGGCTGGGCTGGTGGCAAGGAGGGAAGTTGGCAGTCTTCCCTGTTTTTTTTGAGAGGGTTGTTTTTTTTTCTTTTTTTGCTATAGTGCATGTGGGCTCGCCAGACAGAGACAGAAAGTGAGAAATCACCCCTGCCGGGGGGATGGCCACGCTGCAATCCCTTCTCCATTCTCTTCTTGGAATCTTGGGCGGGCACGCACGCACACGCGCCCGGCATGAGTTTAAGCCACTGGGTCTGGGACGCGAACCGCTGTCGACTACATGGGAGTCCAGGGACAGCAATTAACACTAACTGCTGGTCCCCAGTCTTCCCTTTTCTTATCCAAGGTGCAATCCCACCTGTGGAGGGTGGTACAGCTATTTTCTGTTTGGCTCTTAATTGTTCCTCCTAGATCACAGAGCAGGAAGATACTAGGTCAGGAACCAGGAGGCCCTGTTTAATGTGACGGGCTAGGCACTGTGCCAAGCTCATAAAGCACCGCCAGCCTCGTTCTTGGGAGGCCAGTAGATTTATTGGCCTGAAGCTTCATGGGCACAAACTGAGGCCGTTACTATGCAAACAGCACAGCCAGTCTGGCCTCCGAAGGCTGTATGTGTATCTGAGGTCAGGAGCACATGACGCTCAAGAGGTGCTGACCTAGAGGTTTGGGGCACACAAACAGGACATGAAACTTGGGGCCAAGTTTTCCAAATGGGAGCTGGAGCCTTCAGAAGGCATCTACTGGGCCCTACAACACTGCTGAGCTGGTTCTGACCCCTCACCCCCTTCTTTTTTTCTAATCTGTTAGAGGTCACATGCTTAACCAGAGGGTGAGCAATTGGGCAGGTCTGGGACTAGAACTATGGTCAGCCATGTGAGAGTCCAGTGCCTTAACCACCATGGCACGTGCCCGCCCCCCTCTTCCCTTTCTGGTAGAAGAGGAATCTAAAGCAACTGCTCAACCTGGTACTCTTTTTGTCATTACAGGCAATTCTGTGATTCTGGGGGACAAGGCTGCTGTCTGTCACACACAGTGACTCAGGAACAATAGTCACACATCCAGATCCAAACAGCTCTGAGTTCTCTGCATTGTGATTGGTCCAGAGATCCACATAATGCCTAGGGAAGATGAGTACTAGAGGACCAGCAGGTGGCATGGTGTGTTAAGGCACTGGTTCTCATTATGGCTGACCAGGTTCGAGGCCTGACATGGCATGAAAAAAATCACACCTGGTATGTGTGCCCAAAATACCATGAGAATGGAGAAGGGATTGGGGCATGGTCATCCATTCCCTCCCCCCCCCCCCCCCCGCCATGACTTCCGTCTTTCACTCTCTAGGGAGCACATGCACCATATGGCAGAAACCTAAGGAAAAAACAAAAACAACAAAGAATTGTTTCCTGAAAATAGAGCCTTCCAGAAGACAGCGGGCCCAAAGTATGGGTACCAGAGTCCCACAAACTATTTCAGCCAGTGCCATCTGAGATGCCCCCAAGGGTGGCCATTAACACTTGCACAGGGCCACTGCTATGGAGACTGCACTTAACTAAAATAGCCACACGTGGGGACCAGCAAGTGGTGTGATGGTTAAGGCACTGGACACTCCCACATGGCCAACCACCATTTGAGTCCCAGACCTGGTGGCTTGCCTTCTCTCTCTCTCTCTGGTCAAATTTAAATAACTGAATAAATAAAATTAAATAATTCTTTAAAAAACATAGCTATACGTGAGGCATGACTGCCTACCCACATACCGCTCAGACACAGCGCTCCTTTATGTCAAAGATCACTTGAGCCAAATTTTTGTCACTTGCAAATCAAGGTCCAGTTTAAGCAGTCAGAAGTGTCTCCTATGAACAACACGAACCTTAGCCCACCCACCGAGGTCTCTCCAGGGCAGCATGAGCCCCACCTAAACCCTCATGTCTGACCACACCTCGGATTCTTAAATATCGATGTATTTTTCCATCTCTGGACACAAGCCACACCCTCTCTACCCTCCCCCTCCCCACTGCAAACCAAGCAGCATGTCAGGCACGGCACAGCACGCGTGAAGGCCCCTTCCTCTCACCGAAGCTGGGGACAGGGCACAGCTTGGAGATGGAAGAGCCTCGAGGTAAACGTGGGGCATCTAGAAGCCAATGGGTTGGTTCTAGATCAGGGCAGAGGGACCAGGAGGCAGCACAGTGGTGAGGTTCCAGATTCAGCAGCTGGGCCCTAGAACCCAGTGGTTTGCTAAGGGCTGAGTGGGTGAGGCCGGGTGAGGGTAGAGGAATCTCAGGATGGGAGGGGGGAGCTCAGACTCCAGGAGAGAGGCTTCAGGTCTGGTCCAGAAAGGGCAGAAAGGGCAGAAAGGCGTCTAAACCAGAACTGCATGTTCTCCAGAAGGAATAAGGAGCCAAGTCATCTCGCCACCCCTGGTTTGGCTAAAGTGGGAGGAGGGGTGACAGGAGAAGGGACAGAGAGATCCTCTGGCAGAACTTGTCGTCCCCCC